ACTAGCAGTCAAAAAAATTCTATCAGTTAACACCACTTAGTACAAGCTCAGAATTTTAAATACTGAAAGCACACCTGTACATCTATTAATTTTTCCCCAAAACATACATTTAGGCAAGAAATACTAAGAATGTTATATTTAAGTAAGTAGGGGAAAAAATGCTATGACCCTAATTCCACAGATAAATGTAATAAGTGAATAAAAGTGTATGATGATGCCAAGAAGGGAGAAAACTCTGACAAAGCTTGACCAGAAACAAAACTCATTTGCCTTAACTTTGCTATAAAAAACAATGTTTTCTTTGGGACTCCTAGGTGGCTCAATCAGTTAAGCGTCTGACTTTGGTTCAGGTCATGATCTCAGGGTTCTGGGATTGAGCTTGTCAGGCTCCCCACTCAGCAGAGGGGTCTGCTTGTCCCTCTCCCTCTGCCCCTCCATTTGTGCTCTATCTCTCCCTCAAATAAATATAAAATCTTAAAACAAAACAAAACAAAAAGAACAAACAAACAAAAACAATATTTTCTTCAAGCAAAATGGTATCATCAAGATCAGGCCTATATTCCAGAATATTTCCCACTGCCAAAATAGCATCTGTCAAAAGAAGTTTAAGACAATGAATTGAGCATTAGATTCTCATTTGTATTCCCACTCCTTACCACATCTTACCATTTTCTATCCTTAATCTTAGGTTGAATCCCATGAAATTGCTATTTTTGTACATCAAAAATGGTGAAATACCGGCAATTTCATACAGCTCAACGTAAGTAAAATGGCCAACAGAGCAGAAAAAGAGAGAGAGATATGCACCCAGCTAGAATAAGGAGAAGGGGACTATCCTCATGCTATAAAATTGGCGGTGGTTCTGACAGATACTACATAGATGAAACTAAAATAATTCAAGTATTAACTTGCCATCATCCTACAAGAAAAATCAACATGGAGTCTCAAATCATAAAGAGAAAGGACTCTGAGAGATTTGGGCAACAGCCCCTAATTTGGAGGGCCAAGGACTGAAGCAAAGCTGTATCTTGGGACAGACACTAATCACTATCTCCATACTTCAACCTGAGGGCTCTTTGAGAGCTCATCCTACAGAGAAGCCTCTCAACCCCAAGGTCCTTACTGCTGCAGAGGGTAGCTCCCTAATGCAGCCATCCTGGGAGGAAACAAGCATGGCCTCACCTTACGAAAAGCAGCAGGCAGCAAGCCCACTTTCCTTCGGAGGTAGCTGGACTCTAGTCTCCTATACTCTTGTGAAGCAGGACCTTCAGACAGGCCAAAGCTCTTACTTGGCTTACACGTCACAAAAGAGAAAGCTGAATGGAGAAAGCTAATCCTGGCCTCCACAGCTTCACCCAGCAGAGAACAAACACTTCATAAATCTCCCCATCTTCCCACAGCCCCAGCTACTCTCTTCCCCTCGGCCATTCCTTTTCATGACAGGGACATATTCTCCAGCTGCTGGGTCCCTGATGCTCATGCAATCTTTCAGAATCCAGCTCTCCAACAAAGGATCTGAGGGGGAATAGATCAGCTAGCTTTCTTGTTTGCCAACAACACCCGCCGACTCCAGAGAGGAAATGCACTGGGAGACTCTCCTGGACACACAAAACTGAGGACTACAAGTCCAAGCTTAACGAAGGGCTGGAAGAAAACGAGAGGACATGCTACAGGGATCACAGGGACCATGTCCCAGGACAGGAAGAGTATTATGAACGCACCAGGGCTGTGAGGGATGACCTGCAACCTTCCCTCTACGTCTGCCTCCCTTGCTTCCTTTTGTCCACCCTCGTTTCACTTTCTAACGACTCAGAATGCTGGGCAGTAATACACTGATTAGCCGAGCTCAGGTCATAGCTGGCTTGTCTGACCTGAGGCAGGAAGATGGAGGATCTGACATGTGTGAGAGGCCATTTCCCAAAAGGAAACCAGGGGGAATGGACGCTGGCCAGTCAATATGAACTAACACCCACAGCAAGGAAACAAAGTATTTAGTTAGAACAGGAAGGAATTGAGGCCAGTTACACTCTCTGTTTTGGGACAAATTCTAGGTGTATATACATCTGTTATTGTTCAAGGATGAATAAAAAAGACAAAAATACTTGGACTTACAGGGTACCATATAAAGAATGCAGAACTGAGGGGTAAAAAACAAACAAGCAAACAAAAACAGTTAAAACCAAAGCCAGAAAAGAACATGTTTCATACCCTCAAAGAACTGAATCTGAAGTGGGGGAAAAAAAGAACCCTTAAGAAAAATCTTTAAGAAAATCTTTAAAACCCTTAAGAAAAATCTCCCAAACACAGTAAATATAACAAAGAAATCAAAAATGCATGTGGAAAAGTGAGACTCAATAACTAGAAAATTTAATCCCCAGAGAAAATAAAAACAGTATATAGTAAGGGCAGAACACATAAGCCGAAGATATGTTTGAATTGACAGATGGAAAGTTTAATAATAAGTTATACCTAGATACACGGTCAAAATTTAGAATTTCATGGATAAAATTTTAAAAATCCTAAAAATGTCTGAGCGGGGAAGTGGAGGGGAAGGTTATCTTCACTGAAGCAATACATTAAAAAGCTTTTTTAAGAAAGAAAGCATATATTTTACAGTTAAATTCTTTTATTAAAAGAAAAAAAAAAAAGGATGACTTCGGAACTAAAGTTCTACACTGAGTGTCCAAGAGAAAGATTCAAAGTGACAAAAACTAAAATAACAAGAGCTTTTAATATTTATTAAGGACTTAAAATATGCCAGGCATTGGGCTAAGCATTTATTTGTATTCATTCAATCTTCATAAAAACCAAATAAAATAGGTCCCAATATTATCCTCACTAGACAAAGAAAATGAGACACAGAGAGGTTAGATAATTTGCCCAAAGTTCACACAATAGATGGGAGTTGCCAGAATTTGAACCCAGGTAGCCTCATTCCAGGGCCTAACCATTTGAACTACTATTCTAAATGAATTCCCTCTAATGTAAAAAGGGCACAGAGATCAGGCAAATCCAAACAAACTACAAGTGAGTGGTAGTTATAGTAATTTTAGTTATTAAAAGGAGAAAAGATAATTATTTGTCAGTGGTGAGAGTTAGAATTTATGATCAAGAAAAAGAAATACTCAGCTCACGAGTGTCCAAACCTCGTCGCTCTTGCCCCATTGGAGATATCCATTGGGGCAGTTGCAGAATGCATGACCGAATGAGCTAGTAAGCAAAGATCGGGCACAAACCCTTATGTACTAAATTTAAAAAGTAATAAAATCCCTAAAAATAAAAGGGAGCTGACAGGGGAACAGTGGCAAAAAAAATAGGTATAGTCATTTCTGCTATAAATGCTTGTTTCAAAAAAATTTATTCCAAAGTGAATGATTATATCAGGGAGCAAATTTTGTATTGCTTAAGTGAAATTTTGTCCCTGAGAAACAGAAGTGAAGAAGGCAGAAAACTGCACCCAGTTGAACCCAGCCACATAGGGATACACAAGACACACACACACACACCCTCCAAGGTCTACCAGTTACTTCAATTCACTGTCTGTGTTCACAATCATCCACATATGCCAAAAAACTTCCTGTCAGATTTCAGATAACCCACTTTCTACCATTTTGCACTAACTCAAAGTCTGTACACTTTCTGACATCCACGTCTACAAGTATAAACTTCAGGTCTTTTATTGTAGCATTTATGTTATTTCTAACCACCTAACATACATAAATCTCTACCAGCATCTTTATTAGGTTCCCATCTCTTCTGTGTGTGTGCGTGCGTGTGTGTGTGTATCACTAACAAAGTTTTTGAATGCTGTGCCCTATCAAGAAAAAGAAAAAAAAAGGTCTGATGGATAATGATGGAAAACCAAATCCCTCCAAATTATCTTTAAATTAGTTTGTGTCAATTTCCATCAAAATCCTTTTCTTTTTTGATACGGTAGAAAGAATTTAACAAATTAATTCTAAAGCTCCTTGGGAAAATTAAGTGGTCACTCATTAAAAGAATTTTTCAGCAAAGAAAGACAAAGGGAGATTTAAATTGCCCATTAATGAAACAGATCTTAAAGCCACGACAATCAGAGTCAAGCAGAAAAGTCCATGAAAGAGGTCAGAAAACCCAGAAATCAATGCATATTTAAATACAACAAAGATGGCACTTCAAATAAGTAGGAAAAAAACCAGACAATTTACATCTCAGGGCAGCAGCAGAGCACAGCATGGGAGGGAAGAGCCTGTGGGGCTGGACAGGCGGCCCCGGATGGCACGCCAGCGAGGCGCGTCCCAGCTGGGTGACCCCGGACAACCGGTGTCTTTATCTGTAAAACGAGGACAGTCATTGTACCTACTTCACAGGACTGCTGCGAGGATTATCAGTTATCATTTGTGAAGTGCTCAGAACAGGCATTAAAACAGGAAGTGCTATATGTGTGATATTAAATAAATAAAAGAAAGCAATTCATGCTATGATAATCCTTAAACTCTTGGGAGCAGAAGGGAGGGACACATAGGGAACAGATTCTCTCATCATACCACACTGAGAAAATATGCAACATTATCAGTAATCAAAAATCCAAATTAAAATATTTCAACCATCGAATCGGTCAAAGTTTTAGAAAAAAATTATACTGGTGGCCAACTAGGCAGAGACATTGGTACAATTCTATATGAAAGATAGAAGAATACTCTGAAACAATCTTTCCAAGGGTCACTTTGATTATATGCTTCAAAAACCATTTAAAATATTAAGCCCCTTTGACCTAATAATTCAATCTCCGGGACAAAGTTGGAACATAAGGACTTCAACAGAAAAGTTTCAAGTCACTTTTTCAGAGATGAACTAGAATCAGGGAAAAAAGGATGTGAAGAAATATTTTAGTTTCAGATATAAGGCTAAGAATTTTTACCTTCTAAAAATTCAAGTCTTGTTTCACTGTATAATTAATGTTTAATATTACCAAATTGCAAAAACAAAAAAACAAACAAAAAAACACTTTTAAAACAAACCTTTTAACAGCATCCTTCTTCAGCTTATCTATAGTATCCCACCACTTTGAAAGGTAAGAAATCTCAGACCACATAAATTTTCTCCGTGAGTCTTCTTTCAGCTTGATGACCATGTTATTAAAAATATACTGAGTCATCTCTCTAAAGTAGTCATCAAAAGTCTTCAACCAACCTAAATCAAGACACAAATATACAACAAAGGTCTGATTCATATGTCTGATTTCAACTCAGTCACATTCCATTGCATCACCTTTGGATACCCTTAGATGTTTCATTCATATTAAGACACATTTAAAAATTTCAGAAATGTTTCAAGTGGTGAAATTCCATTTCAATGGATACGAAACTCAAAAAGTCACTAATGACAAAACACTCTGAAAACTGCACAAATTCAGATAGAAATGAGGGAAAAAATGAGAAAAAATGACCTGAGGCCCAAAAGCATTTATTTATGCTTAGTAATTATAGTATTGAATTCAATTATTTATAATTTATCTCTAATTTAAGGAATTTGCTTTAATTCTAAAAATCTGAACAGCGTTAACAAGCTGGCAGTACTACTCATAATGTAATGAAAACTGTATCCCTTCATACCACATCTGAAACTCCCTACCCATTTTAGTAAGTTAAATTAAGAAAAAGAAAAGTATAAACTATATCTAAAAGTCAGCAGCAAAGCAGTAAGGTAATTAATAGCACTATTATGAATACAGAGAAGTAGAATTCTGCCAAGAACGGGCATTAGTTTCCAAAGGCTGTAAATTATTCCATTTTTTGGAAGCACAAATTGACACTAATCAAACAACACAAGTGTATACATGTATGTCAAGTCTTTTTCAAAAGAAAATTGTAGATACTGAGGACTTAGTTCTCAGACTTTTCTCAAATATCCTGGAAGTTTTATCTAAAGATATTTGCAATTTCACTCTAAAGAAACATCTTTTTATAAGATTCTATTTATTTGACAGAGAGAGAGAAAGAGAGCACAAGCAGGGGGAGTGGCAGGCAGAGGGAGAAGCAGACGCCCCGCTGAACAGGGAGCCTGACACGGGACTCGAATCCAGGACCCTGGGATCATGACCTGAGCTGAAGGCAGACGCTTAACTGACTGAGCCACCCAGGTGCCCCATCCCTATAAAGAAACATTTTTAACAAGACCCATAGGTCCAAGCATAGCCCTATCTGGCAGAGCATTAAAGCAACATGATGAGCTGCTGAGGCAAAATCATACCCAGCTATCTATTGGCCACATGGACCTTCCAAAGAACAACCTCTTATCCATGAAATCTTATAGAGAGATAGGAGTTTCTATACATCCAGGCTAAACTACTGCTCTATTTTTTCCAAACCTCAAACATGTGGGGAGACTAAACTATTAAGGGGTCAACTGGTTAGTTCTTTTGTTTATAATTAATATCTGAAATATACTGTATAAGCTGGAAGATAATAAAATGTGCTAGGGCAGAGAAGACAATGCAACTGTTTTGACAATGTAAATATGAGCTTCTGAAAAGGGCACTGACACTCTGTATTTCTCCCTTTTGCTTTAACTAAAATCTATTCATTCATTCCATAGTTATTTAGTGAGCATGTACAAAGCGACAGGTATGAAGCCAGAAGCCAAAGAGGAATTCAGTGTAAAATATTCTTTACGAGGACTTTCTTGATCTGGGACACCTTTAAGTTATTTTTAAAGTCACCAAAGAATACTACATGGATAGTTTAACTTTTCCATGTTTAAATAAAAAGCCTATCTATATAGAAAATTCAAAGATAGCTCATGAAATAGTGGTTTGCAAAGAATCCCATCTTGCTTGGCAAAGGTACAAACTTGGGACTCCTGCCCCAGACCGCAAAGCCAAGATCCACATCTGGATTCCCAAGGACAAGCAAAGAAAAGCCAACCTACGCCTAGCATGCTCCAACTCGCTGCTAATGCTGACCATGCCAACATCCAAGACAAAAAAACATCAGGTGCTCAGACCAGAGTCCAGGATATAACACAGGATTTGATAAATGTTAGTTGCTATTATTATTATCACCTTCATCAGTCTTTAATGGACCCTTCCCCATCTCTACAATCAAAACAGGTGAAAGAGGAAATAAAAGATATTTCTAACAACTAAATTTTGAAAAGGGCACATTTATTTAAAACATTTAAATAAACTGTTCCACATCTTAAACATATTGGTAATCCAAAACTTTGGTTTGCAAAGAATTCATTCTATGCCCCTATTAAGGGCTGAATTGTGTCCCCTCAAAATTCCTATGTTGAAATCCTAAACCTCAATACCTCAGAATGCAACTGTATCTGGAGACAGGGTCTTTCAAGAGGTGATTAAGGTATAATAAGGTCATGAAGGTGGGCCCTAATCCAATATGTCCTTACAAGAAAAAGCAATTAGGACACAGACATACACAGAGGGAAGACCATGCGAAGACAGGGGGCTATCTGCAAGCCAAGATGAGAGGCCTTCAGAAGAAACCAACACTGCTGACACCTTGATTTTGGACTTGCAGCTTCCATAACTGTAAGGAAATAAATTTCTGTTGCTTAAGCCACCCAGTCTGTAGTACTTTGGGATGGCAACCCTAGCAAACTAATTTAGCCCTAGAAAAAATCAGTGTTATTACCATCCGAAAAACAAAGATTGCACTGTGGGGAGAATTTATTTTACCAAGGACCATTATAATATTTAATTTAACATGTATCTACCTCCATATTGCAAGACTGAGCTAAAATCAAATGTTTGGAAGTGACCTCTCCTTCTGCATCATGCTCTTATTATACATGTGCAGTGAGGACCATGTAAATTCCTGAAATGGCTCTGTGCAAATTATTGTCTTTAAGACATCACACATAGGTGTTTTACCTAAATTTTAACAAAGGTCAAAACTAAGCCCTAATTATTTGGCTATTAACTCAATAAAAGAAAAGAGCTATTAACAATGGAATGACTCCAAAATTAATTTAATAATAAAACTCTAGTAATCTAGCATAGAAAGCAAATTTAGAAGAAACTGTCTTTATGAAGCTGAATAAGTAACAGGGTTTTTTTTTTCTTTTTTAAGTACAATTACTTGTTTTCATCAGTTATAATTTGTTATTAGCTAAGACCCTTTCAAAGAATAGTTTATCATAGGAGTTTTCATAAAGAAATCACAGTGACTGATTAATCCATGTTGCCTTCAACACTTCATTTGCCCTTCAACAATCATGCAGAAAATATGTCAAAGATATTTACGTGAGCCAAAATACATGCTGAGATGTCAACTTAAAAGCCTTCCATAAAACTCATCTATAATAGATACTAATATCACTAAAATATAACACAATTAATGAAGAATGAACTAAAAGATAGCCTCTTGCAGCTTTCAATATTGAGTAATATAACAGTAAATTAGCTTTTATTGCTCTTATACAATAATCAAGTATTCCCTTTTACACTGAATTGGCTCTTTCTTTTCCTCAATTACTGTAAAACTACAATTGTATATTAACATAAGACCAATCAGAAAGACAGTATTTTATGAAAAGTTGTATGGGATGATTTTTTGTGACATAAAATTATATTCCTACCTCTGGATTTAATAATCCTAGGACATTGAGTTGCAAACTGATTTACTTAAGTGGTCAATTCACAGCCTTTTTCTTTCCCTTGAATACACTTGGAAATTGAACCAGGGCTAGAATAGCACGAAGAATACCTTTCCATTTACTCTTTTTCCCCTCTAACAACACTTCAACCCATAAAACAGCTAGTCACCATTTTTAAGTAAGTGGGGAAAGATCTAAAACAAAGAATACATAATTAGAAGTTCTTTAAAGCAGGCATAACTCCAAGTTTGCTATCACTATTTTATCATAAAAAATTTTAAGTTTTAAAATATAAAGCCTAATAAAGTTGACAACCCAATGCTTATTTTAAATGCTTGTGAACAATTAAGCACCTCGTAATTGTTCACTGACAAAACACTATTTTTTAAAATTTGACTCTTGATCTTGTTTCAAAATCTAAAGACTTTGTGGCACTCTGATCCTCTCAAGGAACACTCAGTTTTATTTGGTTCAAGAGCATACACAGCACCAATTTCGCACTTGGGCAAGGGGATCCCTTCCTGAGCCCTGGTCACTTGAGGGATCTTCCTATTCGTCCTCTGACCACATTCTTTTCACACAATAAATTCCCAAAGCAAAGAACCTGCCCACCCAGAGCCTGCCCTGACTTGCCCTGACCTGCCCTTCTGAGTACCAGGGCCCAGAAATCTGTGTTCAAACAGCCTCAAGCCAGTTTCTAGAGCCCACCAAGGGCCTTCTATAGGTTTTTCTATAGGGAAGTCGACCTGCAGGTGGTAACCTCCCTAGCCTGAGCAATGGGCAGGGGGAATGCAGTTTGCAGGGGTGTGGGAAGAGTGCTGGGGTGTCTGCAAAGGAGGGCCTGGTTTAGGACAGGGCCATTTCTGGGAGACAGGGCTGGGCTACTATAGGCTGGCTCTTCCCACATGCACCAACACATTCCAGTAGAGAACTGGAGCCTGATCGATCTCAACCCACACATGGCCTTCCTGATAATGGTGCTATTTCTCAAGGCAGGATGAAAAGACCTATCCTTATTTAGCAATGTATCAGTTTGATCTATAACTTTTAAATGTTTATACAAAGGGCCTGAGGACCTCCAGGTATTTCTGCCCCAATTCCTACAAATTTGAGAACCTATAACCCGAACTTCAAAGCATTGAATTCTCATGAAGCCAGCACCTAGTATGAAGCCTACACCATCAAGAATTCAGTAAGTATGTGATAGATGAATGAAATGCACGGCCAAAAGGATAGGGGAAAAAAGGTATATGAAATATAAATACGAATTTATTACTCCAACTGGAAATGAAACCAAAAGGAAAAGACATTGCACACATACACAATTAGCTCTAATGCATTCATTGTCTGTTCTGATGCTAACCTAATAATCTTTGGTCATTATCTCTTAAGGTTCTATTTTATATTTAAAAAAGCTCTGTCAGCCCTAAGATAATTTAAAACACACATCCTCTCGGGGGCGCCTGGGTGGCTCAGTTGGTTAAGCGACTGCCTTCGGCTCAGGTCATGATCCTAGAGTCCCGGGATCGAGTCCCGCATCGGACTCCCTGCTCAGCGGGAGTCTGCTTCTCCCT